CCCGTACACATGTTTAATTGTTATGTTAGACTTGCTAGAATCAAGTCTTTCCTTCAACTCATCCTTAATCTTTTTATAAAAAGCAAGCTGCTTAGGAGTGCGGTCATATGAGAGAAAAACTTCATTCTTAAAACGGGAGCTCGTGATATTCTTTGATTTCTTGACCACTTCGGATACACATTGCTCCGTACAGAGTGTTACCTTAATAGTTCGACATTTGCCTTCAGTTAGCTTACCCAATCGAAAAGGTTTAATCAAAGTCCCATCAACATTCGGATCAACAACACGTAATATTTCCATAACTTCATTCTTATCATTGGATACCCTGTTTTCAACCTGAATCTGCTCGCGAACTCAAATATCATCAAGTTTTTACGTCGCCGTGATCTTTCACCGACCTCAGAAATGATCTCTTCAACAAGATCATCCTGATTAGATGCTTTTATCATTCTTCAGCGTAATAGTGCACGAATCTCCATTTTTATAATAAGCCTTAACACAAAACGCATGCTGCTTACCGGTGAAACGCTCCATGGCGACTAAATTTCCGAACACCAAACTACTTATCCCCACTACCCCTGGCCCGCTTCCGCGTGCCTGTCGCGAGCAGTGCTGTTTTGAAATTCGTACGTCTTTATGGTCCACCGTGTATATAAAAATCGCAAGAATTACGGTCCTGGAAGCGAGCTGGACATCGAATAGGAGGATCTACCATCGAATTTCTTATTCAAGTAATTTCTTACAGCATGCGCAAACTGAGGTTGGGCACCATCATGCATAAAAAACGTCTCTTCTTACAGTTAGAGGAAGTTCTAATAATTCAGATAACGTATTGTAGAAAATGAAGATAGCTATCTCCGTTTCATTTATCAGGCAACCTATATGGACCAACAAAAAAGTTCCCAGTTATCCCCATTCAAACGCGAATTTTAAATTCCCATTGAAAATATCTTTCTGAAACTGCATGCGGATATTCTTCAGCGTAAACATGTGTATTATGCAAGTTTATCATATCACGTTCAGGTAAAACATGACTCATCTGTGAACAAAATTTTCTTGTGAAATGACCTATCAGCTGCGCTGCGTTCTGATACATTTTGGACAAATCTCAAACGTGAGTGATGGACAGTACGCAAATAATTCCTGGACAGGCTGAACATGAAAAGAACAAATGACTTGTCACGAAGGAGAAAATTGTAAGCATGTATCAATAGAATGCTGCAACTGTAGATATGGAAATGAAAGATATAAAAAAAATTATAATATTAACTACTCACCTACCGACAAAAACTGGCCATCGTACAAATATTATCAGGAACAACAAAACTTAAGGATACTTTTTTAAAATTCAAGTTCATCTTTTGATACTCCTATCTCTAAAGAGGACCTAAAAATGTCAGTAAATAAATACATCAATGATTTCCAAATTCCAAATATTGCAACAAATATAGCACAAAACGTCGATGAACTTAATTTATGTACATGTACACAAAATTCTGATGCAAAATTTCGAATTTTTAATATGAACATAAGGAGTATAAAACACAACATTGATTACTTAAAAATACTACTCGACCAAATATGGTACAATTTTGATCTAATAGTTTTAACTGAAACGTGGCAAGTGGTTGATATTTCTTGCTTCAATCAGCAGGGATATGACACGCTATATAACTTTGGCACTTATAACCAAAACGATGGGGTGATAGTTTTTGTAAGAAATGAGCTACAATATAATCATGATACATTCACTTTCACCGATGGAATCAAAATTTTAAACATAATGATCCAAATTAACCATAACAAAATTGAGGTATCTGCAATTTATCGTCCGCCATGTTCAGAACCCCACGAGTTTTTGAAGAATATCGATTTTTTTTTTCAAAATCAAAATAAAGTTCATTTAAAGCAACATATTTTCTTGGGAGATGTCAATATAAATATTTTGGACAATGATCCCATCACAAATGAATACTTGAATATCCTATCAAGTAACGGATTTCTGTCCTATATAAACCTACCTACAAGGTCCATCAGTGGCACATGTATAGATCACTGCTTTGTGAAAGACCTATCCAACAAAATTACTTGTATACCAATAATCCTAGAAAGCGATATTACTGACCACTTCTCCACTATTTTACTGATATCTTCAAATGAAAAACATTCTAACATCCCTACCGTTAATAACAACCAGGAAAATTACAAATTTTTTGTCGGCAATTCAAAACTAATATCAAATGTCAAACAAGAATCCTGGGATCAATTATACTCTATAAATAATATAGACAAAGCAACGGGACTGTTCATAGAGAAAATAAAAAAACTAATAGATATAAGTACCAATAAAGTAATAATTAGTCACAAAGAGAAAAGCAGAAATGCCTGGATTACCAAAGGATTAATAACATCGGAAATAGAAAAAGAAAGACTATATAATGTAATGAAACTAACGCCAACTACACAGAATACCAACTGTTACAACCAATATAAAAATAAATTTATAGAGCTTGCAAGGCAAACCAAACGAAAACATTACCTAAATAAATTGAATAATAGCTTAAATGATCCTAAGCGGCTTTGGACAACTATTGATGAGATTACTGGGAAAACAAAATTTAAAGAGTGTGTCACTGAGTTAAATACAACATCGGGAACAGTATTAAAAAATACTCAACAGATATGCGATGAATTTGTACAATTCTTTACTGACATAGGCGAAAAGTAATATACAAGCAAATGTACAAAATACTCAGCCTCCAAAAAGAACTTTGAACTCATTTATTTTGGATAAAGTCGAACAATGTGAAGTATACACCACTGTTATGTCCTTAAAAAATCGGAAAAGTCCTGGGTTCGATGGTATTAAAAGCGAGCATTTGAAAATTATAGCCGAGGACATAACCGAACCACTCACTTACATAATCAACAAATGCTTTGAATCTGGCATATATCCCTCAATTTTAAAAAAGGTAATATAATACCGATACATAAATCAGGAACAAAAACAGATGTTAACAACTATAGACCAATATCAATAATATCCAGTGTAGCAAAGGTTTTTGAAAAAGTTTTATCTACTAGAATGATTCGATACCTCACAAAATTCAAAATTTTAAGTGAAAATCAATATGGATTTACAGAAGGGAAGGCTACATCGGACGCAATAACTAAAATTGTAAATCAAATATATCAAAATATTGATAACAGAATCCCTTCAATCTGCATTTTTGTTGATTTAAAGAAAGCTTTCGACACAGTTAATCACAAATTATTATTAGAAGCATTGGAGAGAATTGGTTTCAGAGGAAACGCGTACTCACTGATCGAAAGTTATTTGTCAAATCGCCCACAATCTGTACAGATATCAGGATCATTTAGTAAAGAAATGTATATTAAGTGTGGTGTCCCACAAGGAACTGTCTTAGGTCCGCTGTTATTCAATATATATTTAAATGATATTTTCCAAATTAATTGTGTTGGCAAAATAACTAGTTTTGCAGATGATACTGCAATATTATATGAAGGCACTGACTGGTCTGATCTGAAAAATGTAATTGAAAATGATTTTATCAAAATTATTCGGTGGTTTAACAGTAGAAAATTAAGCATTAACTACTCTAAAACACATTTTTTACCATTTGGATCTTATGCTAGACATCTGCCAAATTACACAAATTTCTCCTTCAATATTAATGATCAAAAAATGCAAATTAATAGAGTGCCCAACATAAAATACCTTGGAGTGGTCTTGGATCCTCACTTACGATGGGACATCCATGTCAATTATATTTTAAAGAAAGTTAGATTTGTATCCTACAAAATTAAATACCTTGGGAATATATTGACAGAAAAATATCTTCGAACATTATACCATGCACTGATTGAGCCTCATCTCACATATGGTATATTAGCATGGGGAGCTGCATGTTCCTCACATATCTATAATTTAGATGTTTTTCAAAAAAGTATTCTAAAAATGATATTTAAAAAACCGAAACTTTATCCCACTGAAAAATTATATGCAGATGTTCGAATGTATGATATAAGACAGCTTTATTTCTTACACAGTATCACTCACTACCATAAATTTGTAAACACCGACCAAAAAATTAAACATAATCATTATACCAGGTACAAAATTCGTGGCACAGTAGTTCCTCAACCGCATAAATCTATAATGCAGCGATCATATCTCTATTTAGCGCCTAAATTTTATGAAATTATACCTAAAGACTTAAAAGATTTACGTTTCGGAAATTGTTTCAAAAGAAATTTAAAAAAGTGGCTACATTCTATATCTAGGACTGAAATTCATAAACTCATAAATACGAACATCAACTAAATACATAATCTACTGTAGCTAATTTTTGTCCTTTTTTGTCATTTGCATTCTACAGTTTCAACTTAAATTATTGGTCCATGTACAGGCGATGCCTTCTATTGGGCCTGTTTTGATTTTATATTTATTTACTCATATTGTTTGTTATCTTTGTACATTGAGTAAATAAATATTATTATTATTATTTAAAATCCGGTTAACAGTCCTTTTTTGAACTCCTTGTTCATGTTCTATCTACAAGTTCTGATACATGGATCTTCTTCGACCACTTCAAGTTCAGCTTCTTTCACTAGCGGTTGTCAAAAATAATCTGACACTGACATAACATCCCACATTTCCACTAACTCATGTCTACTAGATTTTAACACTTGATGAAATAAAACTACTTATCCCCACTACCCCTGGCCCGCTCCCGCGTGCCTGTCACGAGCAATGCGTTTTTGAAATTCGTACGTCTTTCTGGTCCACCGTGTATTACAGTTATACTCGTATAACACAATTTGCACCCTTAAAAGATCTAAATAAGAAAAGTAGATTAAAAGCACGGTATTTCCTGAAATGCTCGATCATTTGATGAAATGTGTCAATTTTACGATACAATCACAGCATTACTACTAACATTAGAATGGTTTTGATTGATTGACGGTCACCCAATTACAGCATTATGGGAGGTAGAGGTAGTCCAACATGACCCATGCCGAGGGGGAGCAGCCCAGTGGGACTCACTTTTCCGCTTCAAGCACTTAGCAACAGGCCATTACCTAGCTGCGGACGTAGACCGAGACCACTTGACAGAAGACAACAAAGGCGACGGAGATTCCGAACCGCCGAGGTATCACTTGGTACCCGTAGGTCTGCCTCACGAAATAGCGACTTTATTTGACCTAGATCCAACCAGTTTGACCAGAGGCGATTCTTTGGTACCCCAATCGAGCTATGTCCGTTTACATCATCTTTACACGAATAGTTGGGTCCACTCTACATCAGAATCCATAGATAAGGATGAGGATAAGCCTGTTATGTCAAAAGTTGGATGTGCTGTCACGAAGGAAGATAAAGAAGCTTTTGCGCTGATAGCAGTTTCGCCCGTTGAAGTAAGAGATCTGGATTTCGCAAATGATGCCTGCAAGTTGTTGTCTTCGTTGTCTGTCAAACTGGAGCAAGGAACCATTTCGCCAAATGAGAGGAGGTTAGTTGATATAAAATAGATATAAATTAGCACAACAGTACTAAGCTTTTAGAAATAAAGAACATTCAATTTTAGGGTTGTAACTATAAAGTTGTAAAAAATGATGTTCGACCCCCATGGTTATTAAATCCAGAAAACGGGTTTTGATGGAGATTGCAGATACGCAAAAGCAAGAAAAAAAAACAATCAAATTTTTCGGTGATTTTTGACAGGCTGTATTTCGGTGAAAAATGGTCGTATCTAGAGTCTAAAAAAAGCATTTTCAAGATTCAAGACTCTAATTTTCAGGTTTTTTAGCTGAAAAATTTCAGAAGCAACGGTTCTCATGCAATTCTAACAGATAACGCGAAAAAAGTTGAAAAAGGATCCTTCGACCATTGATATCTCGGTAACCAGTGATCGCACAGAGAATGTATTTCCGAAAACTGGAATGAATTCCTTATAACATTTGATTGCAATCTTCAAGGAGTTTTTTTTTCGTTCCCGTTGTGTTGGTTTTAAAAAAGTTACTTTTTACCTGTTTTAGAAAATCGACCGCATTTTTGGAACTGCTAATGAGGAGGCTAATTTTTTGTTTGTTTTTTATATATCAATTTACCCCTAATATACCATACACGACGGCAGATCGATCCATAGGGTTTCTCTGGACCGCTTGGTCAAAATTTGAAAGAAATCAAAGGAGCAAAATTCCTGTAATCTGGTTGAAAATGGAAAAATCATTTTTCTCCTTTTGTTGTCACTATTGAATTTATGTAACACCTTCAATTGAAAAAAGGCATTTGAGAAAATTTTATTTATAGAATATTCTATAAAACAAAAGTACTGACCAGGGGCGGATCTAGAAAATATTTTTCGAGGGGTCTCAAAGGGGGATTTAGGAATTTGTCCGTCCGGAGACAATGGATCGATCTGCCGTCGTAAGCCCACGGACAAAAAAAATTCTTGCGCTATCTGCTAGAATTAAATTTTTTTTCGGCTAATAAACCCGAAAACTAGAATATTGAAGCTCCAACATGCTTTTTTAAAGTCTAGATTCGACCATTTTCACCAGAATACAGCCGGTCAAAAATTTTGCTTTTTTTCTTGCTCCCTTAATTTTTTTGAGTAGTGTAGTTACCGAACGCAAACTTTCTATTTTCGTTGCTCGTTATTACAAGTGGATGAAACTACGAACCCCTTCCCACTTCAGTTGGCCCACGTCAAGATTTGTACGAAAATATGCCTTTATGAACTAAACATGACTAAACTATTTACTTCTAAAACAATTTATTTTCTCAAAAACATTTTAGATACACTCTAATCGTAAAAAATACATACTTAGACCTATAACTAATAGAACATCTGAACAAATAAGCAATGTGCGAATAAATGCGCGAAGTTAACAAAGCAAGAGTTGAAAGACTACCATTGGGTAACATCACCTTTATTTTTTATTACGGATGAAATTCTTTGGAGCATAGTGTTAACCAAGTTTTGGCAAAAATTTGGTGTAAAACAATCCCATATTTCTTGAAGCCTTTGTCTCAGTTCGGTGGTTGTACGAGCAGGATGTTGTAGAACCTTTTTCATCTCGTGCTACAAAGTTTCAATAGGTGACAGATCTGGACTGCTAGAAACCCATTTCAAAAGTGGTACATTATTTTCTTCCATCCATTTTATAGCCTTTTTTGAGGCATGGCACGCTGCACCATCTTGCTGAAACACAAAATCTTGGTCGGATGTCAAACATTCTTCCATCACTGGTAAAAGCGATTCTTCTAAAATTGCCAAATATTTGTTTGTATCCACATTTCCATCAATAAAATGAAATTTTCCTACTCCTTTTGATGACATACTGCCCCAGACCATAATGGATGCTGGAAATTTCACTTTTCTCTTCAGACAGTCAACATGGAATGCTTAATTTTTTTGCGAATAACTCTACTGCGACTGTCACCAACACAAACTTCGAATCGGGCCTCATCACTCCATTGTATTGCACACCATTGTTGAGGTATCCATTGTCTATGTTCTTTAGCCCACCTAAGCCGATTTTTCTTTTACAGTGGAGTTAACAGTGGCTTTTCTGTGGCCTATAAACAAGTTGTGCAACTTTAGGGTTTTTACGTCACTTTTTTTTATAAGAAAACTTACCTTGCAAGTGCTAAATCCCAGTTTGTGGGCCTCTCTTTGAGTTGTGGCCCTCGAAATTCTCCTTCCAACAGCGTCACTCCACAGAGCACTTAATTTTTTTTACGATTATTCTTCTTAATGCTCTTCGGTCGCCATTTGTGATATTACTTTTTTTCACATATCGTGGCTTAATATTAACTGAACCAGTTACGTTATTCTTCTAACAATATTTCTCACACTGTACCGCGATAAGTCTAACAAAGTTGCAATTTCTGAGTTTGATTTCCCAGAATTAAAAAATTTAATTATCAGTAACCGAATTTTCTCACTAATAACCTTTCCTCTACCCATTTTGAAAACCTTAATCACCCAAAACTATTTTAAACGTATTCTGACAGGTGTGATTAATAGAAACAATTGTCATGGCTTTCATTTTTCACAGCCACCTATGCATTATAGACTTATTTTGCATTGAAATGAAAATAGGTTGATATGCTTTATTGCAACATGTGTTGTTTCTTTGCTGGAAATTTGATTAGGGAGTGATAAAGTTGGTGTTTTCTACTATAGATTATCAAAATATTCATTGTTAATATTTTAAACCTATAACACCCTGCTACATTTTTATTATTTGTGTTTGATAAGAAAAAAACTAAGATTTCAATAGTTGGGCCAACTGAAGTGGGAAGGGGCTCGTAGGTACACTGGCAACGCTGATTTTGAATGTGGACTTCGAAAACGAATAAAACCCGGTACACTGAGGTAAAAAATGCTGAAGTATCGCAAAGTCCTAATTGGAACAGATTGAAGGTACACAAGAGTTGTCTCTAAAGTGATATGCCTTCAATTTTGAAAGTATTTTCTTGAATTCCAGATCACTTACAACACTATTGCAAGACATTGTCTACTTTGTCGCGGAGCTAGAAAATGAACAAAATAAAACGGAAGCTTTAGATCTGATTGTTACTAATCCTAATCGTGACAGACAAAAACTTTTAAGAGAACAAGCCATACTCAAACAGTTGTTTAAAATTTTACAGGTAAGTGGAGGCACAAAAACTTTGTAATCCAGGAAGATTTGAGTCATTCTGTTGTCTTTTTCACGAGTATCCATTGCGATAAAATAACAGCTGTAATCAGTAATATTTCAAAAATCCCCATATCGACAAATGACGCATAATTCTGACAGATCCGTCAAGGCCAGGTAAACACAGCCGAATATTCTATTGGTGTTTTGTATGCTATAGGTTATTTAGTACTTGTCAATAACTCTTTTATTTAGACAAGTTCTTTTGTATACAAAAAAAAACATGCTACAAGCAAGTTTTAACAGTTTTGCAGCCAATTCATTATCGCCAACGTGTTATTCCGCCACAGTGTAGTTTCAAAAACTAGGAAATGAAATAACAAGTATCACTGTTGAGATTCTGGTGCTAAAGTAGATACAAACTCACAAGGTACACAGACATTTACTGAACAAACAAATAAAAAAATTTAAAGAGAGAAGTCCTGGAGGACAGGCTAAAAAAATTATTTTGTGTTAGCTGAATGGTTACCAATAGCCTCAAAAATTTCATACTAAAACTAAAATTAAAAAAAAACGATGGCTATCGCCGAACGGCAACCGAGAGCAGGAAGTTCCAGCTGTTACTCCAAAACCGGGGGGTAGAACCCAAGGGTAGAACCGGATGGTAAAACTGGAGGGTAGAACCCTCATTGGGTAACTGCTCCTCCCAGGCGTGAATCCCACTCAAACTCGCCTTGGAGTAACCCTGCAAGCGGTTCCCCTCAGCTCGATGGTTGAGTGTAGTTATCTGCACGGTTAAATCCCCAAAAGGTGAGAAAAAGGCTCCCGACAAAAAAAACACCAAGGGGGCCGATTTCTAATAAAAAACAACCCCACCACCTTATAAATCCGAAACTCAGCGTGTGAATTCATTCACAGAATCGGGCAGTGGGCCGCAGAAAATTCCTACACCAGAGCACCGGAAATAGCCCCAAGCCACCTTCAGCTCTCGTATTTACGGTCGACAGAAATTATAAAAAATGACGTCCAACGAGATGGAGAGTAGAGTACGATTTTTTGCCTTAAAATTATTAGAGAGAGAAGTGGTTTGTTATAAAAATGAAATTCGATGTTTTTAAGAACTGCTACAAAATTATTATGCTAAATAAGAAAAACGCTGCAATAATTCACTTTATCAAGATGTAGTTAATTTTTAGTCGATCATAAAATGAAACTGCAACAAACGTTACAGAAATAATAATAATACATAGATGTCACTTATTGATCAGGTGTTCACCTCAGTAGACGTCAAAACGTAATGGATACTCGTGAAATAGGGTTTACTTAATACCATTTATTTTATTTTTCTCTGTTCTTAGGGACCATTCATGGACCACGATGGAGAAGGCTCATTCTTGAAAATAGAAGAATTAAACGATCCTAGACATGCTCCTTACAAATACATATTTAGGCTTTGCTACAGAATTTTGAGGTTAAGCCAGCACGACTATCGAAAAAACCAAGAATACATCGCTAAACACTTTGGATTCATGCAAAAACAAATAGGCTATGACATATTAGCAGAAGATACTATCACAGCTCTCTTACATAACAACAGGAAACTGTTAGAGAAACATATTACTCCTACAGAAATAGAAACGTTCGTAGGTCTAGTCAGAAAGAATATGAAAAGTTGCGAATCTCGTTTTTTAGATTACCTTTCAGATCTATGTATCTCGAATAAAAAGGCAATACCTGTAACACAAGAGTTGATTTGCAAAAGCGTGCTGAGTCAGAAAAATTCAGATATACTCATTGAAACTCGAATGCGGAAAACTCAGATTGAGCTGCAAGAAGTTACTGACAATCACGCCACAGACAACGAGGATGAGTTGGAAGCTATGATAACAGTAGTGGAAGAGTGTCAAGTAGTGCTGCTCTATAACAACAGACAAAAATCCGTACTTTTGGTAGACCTTTGCAAAAACGCCAAACTAGGCATCAAGGAAGACCAATCTATCTTGGATTATTATAGACATCAACTCGATCTATTTTCTAACATGTGCTTGAACAGGCAGTATCTTGCCTTAAACAATTTGTCTCCGCATTTAGACGTCGAACTGATTTTGAAATGTATGTCAGATGAAAACGTTAGTTTTGATCTGAGGGCATCGTTCTGTAGACTGATGTTACATCTGCATGTTGACAGGGATCCACAGGAACCTGTCACTCCTGTTAAATATGCCAGGCTGTGGTCGGAAATACCGTCGCAGATGACAATAAATGAGTAAGTTTTTGTTCGGAAAACCGAATATTTTACTTTGCTTAAAACGATGAATTTGAACGTGACCATTAAAAAAACCTTAAGGTGGTATGTCCGACTTTTATGATTCTGACGTTTTCGAAATCGATCATAGCACAACGTAAAAAATATGCATGATGTCCCAATATTCCGTGAACTCAGAATACCACGTTTTTTTAGACTCAAAAGTAAGTCGATAGGATATGATGTAACATGGGTCAATTTGTTTAAACACATTTTCAAAATGTCTTAAGAACTCGTAATATGATTTGAATGAATGAAGAGTTCGAGATGGGTGAAAACTACCCCCACCCCTACATAAATTATAGCTGACTTTTTTGGCAACTTTCACGACGATTTTTTTTATTTAGCAGCTATTTTTATCTACTTCATTTTTCGTCTACTATAAAAACAGGCCATCTCGGATAGTTTTCGAGAAAAACAAAATGAGTTGCATCAAGAGGTTCCCAAGCGGCTTATTAATTATTTAAGTGTAACTAGCGAAAATAAACAAGTGATATTATTATTATTTACTAATTGCAATAGTGCAAATCTCTCATAAAAGGTGTTCAATATTACTACCGTATTTGTTCCTTCACATATCAATAGTCAGCTTTCTCTAAGATGTCATTTTTCTTTAATGTATTTGCTGCATTTCGTATCCTGTCCCATAGGTCATTGGCGTTGGCTATCTGAACCTCATATACCGTTTTTTTTAATACAGGGTGGGTAATTTTTTTTAATCATAGAAAAAACTACAAAGCGTAGAGAAGATAATGTATATTTTTAATAGAAACATGAGAATTTTATTTAAAAAAAACTCATTCAGATGTGAGTAATCGGCACGTACGTACTCCTCGAATTTCGACTTCAAATTCGTGAAAACTCGCTGGCACATCGCTCGTGGGATAGGGGACATCTCTTCGGAAATGTTTTGCTTCAGCTGAGCAATCGTCGTCGGTTTATTGGCGTAAATGCGGCTCTTGAGGTATGTATCCCCAGAGAAAAAAATCCAGAGACGTTACGGAATGTCCCCTCGTCGCGATATCAGTTTTCCACTAAACATTTCGTTTAAAACTGCTAAAGATTCGTTGGCGGTATGGGACGTCGCGCCATCTTTTTGAAACCAGGTCCTGCTATGGTAGGCGTCAAAATTATGCAGTTGTGGAAAGAAAAAATTACGTAGCAGTGATTATAATTTACTGTTACGGTCTGACCTTGCTCGTTTTCAAAGAAATAGGGTCCGATGATTCCTTCAGCCCATATGGCCGCCCTAACTGTAACATAACGCGAATGCAAAGACCGTTGGTGCTTTAATTTAAGATTTCCTGCGACCCAGTACTGGTAATTTTGCTTGTTGACAAATGAAAATGAGCTTCATTAGAAAAAAGAATATTGTTCAAACTTGGAAAGCGCTCTAACATTGTGTCGGCAAACGCACGGCGTAGATGGTGGTCCTGCGGTTTCAATTCCTGCACTAGTTGAATTTTATATGGGTGCAATTTAAGGTATTTTACCAAAATACGCCTTACGAATGTCCTTGATATGGCGAGCTCAGCTGATCTCTTTCGGTATGATAATTGTGGATCGCGCCGTATGGACGTCGTTTACAATTTCCTCTGTTCTTGTTGGCCTTGGACGCAGGCTTCTGACTCACTGTAGAATTGGTAGACTTAGATCATTTAAACTAAGCTCAGAGCGAAACTGACGCCGCGCAATAGTGCATGAATCCCCATTTTTGTAATAAGCCTTAACACAGAATGCACGCTGCTCATCGGTTAAACGCTCCATGGCGACTAAATTTCCGAACACCAACCTACTTGTCCCCACTACCCGTGTACCGCTCTCGCGTGCCTGTTACGAGCAATGCAAGGAAATTCGTACGTCTTTCTGGTCCACCGTGTATATAAAAATCGCAAGAATTACGGTCCTGGAAGCGAGCTGGCCATCGTATAGGAGGATCTACCATCAAATTTCTCATTCAAGTAATTTCTTACAGCATGCGCAAACTGAGGTGGAGCACCATCATGCATAAAAAACGTCTCTTCTTACAGTTAGAGGAAGTTCTAATGATTCAGATAACGTATTGTAGAAAATGAAGATAGCTATCTCCGTTTCATTTATCAGGCAACCTATATGGACCAATAAAAAAGTTCCCAGTAATCCCCATTCAAACACTAATTTTAAATTCCCATTGAAAATATCTTTCTGAAACTGCACACGGATTTTCTTCGGCGTAAACATGTGTATTATGCAAGTTAATCATACTACGTTCAGGTAAAATGTTCTTGTGAAATGACCTATTAGCTGCTCTGCGGTCTGATACATTTTGTACAAATCTCAAACGTGAGTGATGGACAGTAGGCAAATAATTCTTGGACAGGCTGAACGTGAAAAGAACAAATGACTAGTTTCATTTGATATCCGGTTAGCAGTCTTTTTTTGAACTCCTTGTTCATGTTCTATCTACAAGTTCTGATACATGGATCTTCTTCGACCACTTCAAGAACAGCTTCTTTCACTAGCGGTTGTCAAAAATAATCTGAAACTGACATAAATCCCACATTTTCACCAACTCATGTCTATTAGATTTTAACAATTGATGTAATAAGAAAATTTTCTAGAACCTAGCTCCGAATTTATTTTTCTCAAAAACTATGCGACATTGCCTTTAATGAGACAAACAATAGAGAAAAATGAACTAAATGAAAAAAATAAAATCAGAGTCGTTGGAAGAGTTGCGAAAAAATTCTGCTATTACGTAGGAGCATTTATGTTAGGACGTCTAGCAAAGCACATGTGATCTAAATTTTATTCAAATCGTACTATCAGTTCCAAAAATATCTGAACAAATGTGTTTTAAAACGAAAACTTTGACGCCCTCTCACGAACAAACGAAGCACTTTTGCAAAGGTAAATCATGTCCAATCGACCTATTTTGAGTAAAAATACGTGGCACTCCTAAATATTGGGACACGCTGTATAAACCATTTTCTAATTTGACGTTTCGGGAGATGAACAGTCTTATATCTATGAGTTTTCCAAGAACAACAGAATGGTGGGACACAAATAATATTGAAAGTCATGAGATTTTGTCCCTAGAAAATCGGCTACTTCTTCATGTTTGTCTAAAGCTGTGGTCACCAACCTTTTCAGTGTGTTGAGCTACTTTCATAATTTTGGAATAAACAGTGAGCTACCTAGTCGTAATCAACGTAGGCCAACTTAAATGAAATTATACACAGTTGTATGCGACATGCATGTGTTTATTTTACTGATACTAATACATACTAATAAACTTAAACTAAAACATACTAAATAACTACATCCATTCCTACCAATCGTAGGTGTTTTAAACATAAACAAAATTTTTCGTTAGCTACAATGGCATTTCACATACGATTTAATAAGGTATCTAAAAATAAAAAAAGCCACGCACTATTTTAAACAAAAACATGTCCAGATAAAAAATGCGTGTTCAATGGGAAGCCTGATACTCAAACTCACTGATAATTTTTTTAATGTTTGGAGTATAATTTCATACCACGGTTCGAATACAATTATCCAAATGTTCATCTGTAAGTCGATTACGGTATTTGTTTTTAATAAACTTCATATTTAAAAAAAGAAGATTCACACAAATAGGTTGAACTAAATAACGCTTTCCCTTTCAAGGCAATACGACATAAAACTGAATATTCATCTTTAGTGTGTGTACTGAAGACCAGATACATTTTGTATTTGAGACTAATGATTTTAAAGCTAAACCATTGTGAAACACAATCACTTCCATTTTTGTCGCAGCGATGTCTTCGCTAAAATTCTGCGTAACAGAAGTTGCAAACTGTTGGATATCAATTTCCATGAATGGTGAAACAACAAATTGCGCCACTATAGCAATTTCTTTGAAATCCTTGAAACGATTTTTGAAGTTATCCTTCAAGTGGGAGACTATTTCTTCATGATATTTACTGTCATATGGTACTAATGGACTTTGAGATATATTTTCTGAAAGAAGAACAAGAAAACCAAAATCTCTAAGCCAAATTGAATTTTCCAGTTCCGGAATCGGTTCATCACGTTGTTTGAAAAATTGAACTATGGCAGATATGATATCATTAAAACGTTTCCGCACTCGTCCTCTACTGAACCATCGAACTTCAGAGTGAAGAAGTAGTTCCTCGTATTGACAAGGTTTTGAATAATCTTTGTAACGCTTGAGCTCTAATCTTGTTCACAATTATTACTACCAATTTCATAACGTTGTTTAGGTTCAGAAGATGTCCACATAATGCTTGCTGAAACTCATTTTTACGACATAACCTCACGAGTCCCTTATTACGACCCACCATAGCTGGAGCGCCATCGGCTGTCAAGCCTACCATTTTCGATATTGGAATTTTCTCAGAAGAAATACTATTTAAAAAAAAGGAAACAAGTCCTGCCTGGTAGTCTGTCCTTTTAGTGAAATAAACTTCAAAAGATCTTCTTTAATCGTGAAATCACTAAAAACTATCATGACGAACACGGTTATCTGAGAGGTGCCAACGACATCTGTAAAACTATATCATTGCTAATTACCTCTACTCGTCTCATCACTGTATTAGCAGAAAGTTGCATAGATTTTATAGCAGACACTATCTCGTCTTTATTAAGTTGGCAAATAATGAATTTGCAGCTTCTAAAAACGCCTGTTTTATAATTTCCCGGTCTTCATAAGGTTTCTTCATTTGTGAACTATCTGCGACACCCGGTATGATGCTTCAGTTGCAGCTTTACTTTTGCCGATTGTTTTTAAAAACATTGTCTGTTTTCCAATTAACTGATTTTTTGTTTCAGTTTTTCCGTTCTAGTTGCAGAACGTAATGAGAATGATTTTTCAAAATGCGAATGTAGTTTTATAATGCCTTTCGATATTCCCTTTTTTAGCAACGGAAACAGATGTATTACATAACAAACATACATTTTTACTTTTAACTTCTGTAAAGAAATATTGTCCTTCCCATTCCGAATGAAAATGGTATGTCTTCATCTTTTTTTTTTTTTATATATATCGAAACAGCCGCGCAGGCAGATGCCTAAATGCCGGAACACCGCGGCTGCTATGATGATCCCAAAGAAATTTTGTTAATACGATTTTTGAACTGCCTAAGGCTAGTAGAACTGGGAAAAGCTTCCTCCCGTAGATTGTTCCACAATCTAGACACCCTCGGGACAAAGGAGCGGTCGTATCGGCCAGTTCTGGATGTACGAAGTTTGACACGGTTAGGATGGGACGCCGAAGTCAGGCGGGTCTGTCTGGCAGGCACATCGCGCGGCGGCATCATGGAAGAGAGCTCTGAGGAGCAAAGCCCGTTGGTGTAGCGATAGAAAAGAGCTAGGTCGCCGACGGCCCGCCGGTGCGAAAGAGTCCCGAGACTGTCTGTTAGGGAAGAGTCATCGATCAGTCGGACCGCCCTCCTCTGGACAGCATCGAGCATGGACAATGTAGTCGGGGCGGCAGCACCCCAAATGTGTGAGCAATACTCGAGGCTAGGCCTTATCTGGGCCTTGTATAGAGTGAGAAGGTCATGCGGAGAAAAGTACTTCTTAGCCCTAAACAAATAGCCTAGCTTTTTCCCAGCAGCTGCAGCTATTGAAGAGATGTGTTCGTGCCAGATCAGGTCCTCGGTGATCTGGACTCCGACCAGCCGAAATGAATGGCTCTTTGGTAGAACTCGACCGTCCATCGAAACTGTATGAGCGCTAGGACGCTTTTTGTTCGTCTAAGTACAGTACTGTGTTTTGGAAGCATTGAACTGTACAAGATTGTTGCGTCCCCAAGCAGTGATAGCCTCCAGGTCTCTTGTCAGAGAAGAAGTCGTCGCTAGTCTTCTTTTTTCCAGCTCAGCGGCAGAGATCGGCTTGTCACTCTGAACTCCTGCATGTAGAGTGCTGTCATCAGCGAAGCTGTGGATTGGGTTGATCGTGCAGGAAAGGAGGTCGTTGATATGTAAGAGAAACAGTGTTGGAGCCAAGACCGATCCCTGGGGAACACCCGCGTTGACGTTGTGGGATGAAGAGGAGAATCCGTCAATTACGACGGATATCTTGCGGCCAGAGATAAAGTCAGCCACCCATCTGCAAAGCTTTTCTGGGAGGCCGTAGGATGGAAGTTTGCTCAAGAGGGCAGCGTGCCACAGCTGATCGAACGCTTTCGTGATGTCAAGAGCAACGACATGAGCCTCACCATGAGACTGGATGAGTTTACTCCACAGTTGCGTGACGTAAGCTAGGAGGTCCCCTGTGGATCTTTGGTGCCGGAAACCGTACTGCCTGTCGCTAATCAAGGTGTGACGTTCGAGGTAGTCCAGAAGCTCGCGATTTATGCACCTCTCCATCACTTTACTTATAACAGAAAGCAGAGCTATAGGCCTGTAGTTGTAAGGGTCGGTTTTAGATCCTTTTTTTGGGATGGGCTGTACATGAGCAAATTTCCAGTTTTCTGGGAAGGTGCCGGATTCATAAGATATCTGGAAGAGACGCGAAAGAACTGGAGCAAGCTCAGCTGCACATCTCTTCAGTACAATGGCAGGAATCAAGTCCGGACCAGTAGCTTTGTTGATGTCCAGCGACAAGAGCACTCGTCTTACGGTCTTATGCCTGAATGTTACCTCCCGCATAGTGTGGGGAACCCTTTGAGTTGACGGCACTTGGGCGTTGGTAGGGACGTCCATGGTGGAGTTGGCAGCAAAGATCTTGGCTAGCACTTCCGTCTTGGCCTTTGAGTCGAATACAATAGTTCCATCCTGACACGTAAGTGGTGGAAGGCTACTGTGTGAGAAGTTCTTTTCAATCTGCTTGGCCAGCGTCCAGAAAGACCGACTGCCATTGCGCTGCAACATTACCCTGTGCCTAACTTTTATATCATGCTGGTTTTTGGCATTGCGAACCGCTTCGTTATATTTGTTTCTGGACTCGACGTCGGCTTGTCTGTTCTCTACAGTGGGGTTTTGTAAGTAGGTTCTATGGGCCTTGATCTTCTGCTGGCGAGCAGTGTCACACGATTTGTTGAACCAGCCGTTGGACCCTGGTTTAGGAACTTTCACTGTGTGGGGGATGTATTCCTCCATTCCGACGTGGATAATTTCGGTTATTGAAGAACAGACAGTCGACGCATCCGCGTCAGTGAAACAGACATCTCTCCAAGGAAAGCTAGAGAAGAAGTCTCTGAGCCCCTCCCAGTCGGCATGTCCGTAATGCCAAGTTTTGCGGCCTGTGCGAGTTTCTGCTGCCACAGCGGCTTCTGACCGGAACCTAACCTCCACAACACCGTGATCTGAGTTACCCAGGGGGGACAGGACAGCAGTGCTGTAAGGGGCAGGATGCGTGGTCAGAAAGAGATCCAGCAGGCTACTGGCGTGTGACGAGACGCGGGGGAAAAAAGTAGGGCTCGTCACCAGCTGAGTCAGCCCTTGAGTAAGAGCGAACGCTTCGACTGCACGACCTGCTGCATCGGTCTTGTTTGAGCCCAACCAAAGCTCATTATGGGCATTGAAATCACCGAGAAGAACTACCTCTGAAGCGGGGTGATTGATGTTCAGGAAGTCGATCTGGACGGCGAGGTATTCGAGTAGGTCATCCCAGTTATGGTTCGAGGGAGAGCGATAAAGGCAGCAAATAAATTTGGGTGATGTTTTGGAGTTGAGGCGAAGCCACAGAATGTCCTTCCGGTCTGATTCCAAAGAAAGATCCCTGGAGCAGGAAAGACTGCTGCGGACAAAAGCCACAACTTCCCCGTTCTTTCTCAGATTGAAGTGCACCTCGTAGTTTGGGAAGTTGAGATGGTTAATCGGTGCAATCTCTGAGATTTTTGTCTCCGCCAAGAAAAGCACGGCGGGACGATTGGATCGCAGGTAGTGATGAACAGCATCAATGTTGCTGTTGATCCCGCAGATGTTCGAAAAACAAATTTTATCTTCGATGTTGTTCCCTCGAGCCCACCCTCCACCCGGACATTCCGAGAGTGGAGTGAGTTTACGTCCGGAGTTTTTAGTGCTCGAGGGATCCATCATCATTAGTTTCTTTGTTTTGGTAGATAACCGACTGCATAGCTTAGGTGTGGAAACATGCGGACATTTATAAGACACCCTGGGAAAAGCTAGCGGGTGGTACTGCCTCGGTCGACTGGTCCTTGTCTACCACCTTCTTTTTACGTGTTAGTGATGTTAAATAGACCTAAAGTGGCCCGTTGGCGGACTTGTACCGCCACCCGGCAATCGGTACTGAGGTATTCCTTAACGCGTGCACAATCACTTGGACGGGAAGAAGTTGTATACTGGATACAACAACTTCCGGAACAAGCATTTGCCACGGCCCTCGCTCAGTAGGGATTACTACTACTGCTCATAATGTTTTCAATTGCAGGCCAACTCTAACCCAACCGCTGAACTTTGTGCCATTCAATTTAAACTGAGCGCACTGTCGCTGCGCCTTGCGTATTTATTCCGTTCAGAGTAATCGAGATCATTCTCGAACAGATCGCTCACCGCAGTGTTGCCGCTGCTTGTGTTTATTCTGATAATTTACAAAATTTACGGAAGCTTCTATGATTTTTACACCTTTTTAAAATATATTATGAGCCACCAGAATTGGCTTTGCGAGCTACTGCTGGCTCGCGATGGACGGATTGGCGACCACTGGTCTAAAGGGACTTACTTAGTTTCATATTTTCAACCAGTTTTAGAACGCAAACTTTTGGTCTCTTGTAACCACAAGCGAACAAAACACTGCACAGCTAGGTAATTTACAGGTAACATTGTCACAAGACATACTTGGAGCAGGAACATCAGGCGCCAAGGACCTCCTGTCGATCTTAGCGCGAAACATAAAAAAATCTATAGATGCATAATTTGCGAACAGTTTTATGCTAATGCTTAGAAAGTATCTAGTTAATAAACTTAACCTTTTCAGTTATGATTGCAACAAGACTCCAAATCCTGCAAAAGAAGCTGTACGTGCCAAATTTGCCTCGACTATATCATTTGTGGGGGGATACTTATGCAATGTTGTTGCCAAAATGTGGTCCTTTGCAGATCAAGAACAGAACAAACTGACATTCGAGGTATGTTTTCCTAAAAAAATATTTTGTGAGGATTTCCAAAATAACCCTGTTTTAGGTTGTTAAATTAGCTAGAGAGTTAGTGTACTTTGGTTTTTATAACTTTTCTGACTTGTTGAAACTAACAAAAACCTTACTTAGCATCTTGGATTGTGCTTCTGAGAGTGATTTTTTGGATAGGCGCACACCAGCAGGCGATATTGATTGCAAGTATTTTTAGAATTTTTTTATGTAGTCTTAAGGTAGTACAAGCCATCGAATACACATATGCTGCAATAAACTACAACTGACTCCTCGTATGTTGAAAACTACAAATTAACATAGGGTCCTTTAACAATCTTGTGATATAATAAATGATTTCACTTGAGGGGTCCAATGCATAAACCAGTCAAGTCACATGATTAAAAATGTGGATGAAACATAAAAATGTTTGATGTAAATTTTTTAGTTACTGCAAATTTTCGCATTTGTTGTCAGTTGCAGATAATTCTGCTGCATTATTTTTTAAATATACCTGTATCAATCTGTAGTTAAAAAAATAAATGAGCTATGAGGGAAAGATAGATGGGCGTCACTGGTTAATTCAAAGTTTTAGATTTTTTAAGGGATAAAATTAAAATAAAACCAAGTTTGTCGTTAAAAATGTTATTTTTTGTTGTTACTGGAGTAATAAACTAATTCAACTTTTGATACAATCTTAAAATATTTTCATTTATTCCTCTTGACTGAACTCTGATGCGGAAGTTTATCGTCTGTCGAAAAATACTGATGGTATTTTCTGACTTCTTCATAGAACCACTGATCACATTTTGGCAGATATTTTTTAGCCAGAGTTATAGCTTGATCAAATTTATTTGTCTTTAGCTTCTTTCTTTCACTATACATCTTATTTGTGGTGTTTGATAGAGTCAGGGGCTGCACATTCCTCTTATCTCGGATTTCAAAAATATTAAACTGATACAAAGACACTGTTTCACTACATTTAAATAATATTTTATTATCTAGTTTTTCATAGCGCATGATTCGGTATTTTGGAATCGTAAATTTATGGATGACTTTGAAAGTTTTTGTTTCTATTTTCAACAAGCTTTGAGTACTCTTGCGGCAGATATATTTTGTCGTGCGTTCCTTTTTTGTATTTTCCAAAGCTCCTATCGCACGGAAGGAAACTATATCCGGGTTCGGGGTACCTGTGCTGTATTAGACTGACAACACTGTGCAAAAACCAGTCAAGTCCAGGACTTGACCGGTGTAAAAGTGTAGGCGATCAATTATACACTTCAGTTTGCACAATTTAAACTTTACAGAGCTGGTTTATACACTGGAAGGTTCAGAATTTAAAACTGCGCAAGAATATAAACCCAACTCATTGGACCCCTCAGTTAAGAGCATTTTTAGTGTCTGGAAAGACAGGGGAAAGCACAAAATGGGGATTCTCCTTTGGACCCCTTTAAAAAATGTCTACAGGGTGATTAAAAACGCAATGACAATATTTTTACTACCTTTGCTATAGCAGAGTAACTGCTGCACCAAAGAAAACATAAGGTCTCAATTTGAAAGCCTTGTTTCCCACACATTTCCGTGAACCATTTATACCAATATTTTATAGTTTTTTTGAATATACGTTTCTACATTTTTTGAAATATTGGATAACCTGGTCTGATATTGAAGTTTTTGTTTGATTTTTTTAGCTGGGGGCGGCGTTCTACGTAGTATAGGAGACATGGGGGCTGTGATGACGTCATTAACTTTAGGTTCAGTGGGCAAAAATGGAGTTACAGCAAATTCTGCAGCATCAAAATCGATAAAAGAATATCCTCTGGTTATGGATACCAAACTAAAAATCATCGAAATTTTGCAGGTTTGTGCGCATTTAACCTTCTTTTTGTTGTAAGTGAAATTTCTTTTTTTATTTCAATTGTTATGTATACAGAATCTCCCAAAATTACGAGAGTTGATCCCTATGCTCTGCTCATGTCCTCTTTACAGATGTTTATTCAATGAATGTCTCTAACAGTGAAACAAGCGACAGAGGGCTATGTATTTAGTTTGTATTATATTGTAAATTTTATGTATCTATGGCAAATCTTCAAATGGACAGTCATAAATCTCACCTATATACAGGATATTTCGCATAAGAACCAACAAAAATTTTTGGGCGATTGGGGACGCTGTATACTAAATACTACACACACATTCATTTAGTATTTATAAGATTCAGTCTTCTATCAACAGGCGAATGCATTGCATAATTCGTGATATGATGAGGTAACGTAACTCTCAAATTAGGTAATGGAACCTTGAACGAGATTTTGTTAAGAAGCTCAGGACACAGCATCTACCTATTTTATAGTTTCAACACACACAATAAATCATTGTCAATACGCCTTTGACATAGATTCAAGTTCAATGTATTCAGTGCATCATCATATATGTATATGAAGCCTATAAAGCTAAAACCTAATAAATTTTGCGCTCTTTCGAGGGCTAGAGAATTATTCATATAATAGGAAAACCAGCTCATGTATCCCTATTCCAACAAAGGTACCACTTATGAGATGTATAATTTCCTCCATTTTCTATAGATAGCTCCCTACAATCACGAAACGCAAAACCAAGGACTTTAAAAGCCTTAAGTACAATAGTATTTGTATTTATAAAATAATAATAGACGTCTTTATTTTATTTATATTATATATTTATAAATTTAGCCGTTGCTATTCTTATATTTAACCATAAAAGTCAATAATAATAAATAAATATTATTCATAACAAATTTAAATTTTGAGTAATAAATTATTACCGTAAAGCTAAAACTGGCATACTTTCCAAAGTACGTCAAAAAGTAGAAAGCAAAAAAATGGCTAAGAAAGTAAAAAGAAATAAAATCATGATTGTGTAATCAAGTCATTGAAGTAATGATGATTTCACTGGTAATGAGTATTGTTTATACAATTTTAGTAAAGAATTATATATGGTGGCAACATTGTAAGAGAAACTGCGTTGAAATAGGTTTGTTGAATACCTAGGTATCCAGAATTTTATCTCTAAGTGGTCTAGAACGGATATCATTGCTGGATGAAATTTGTTTTGGCAAGTAAGCTGGTTTAGACGTAATTAATAATTTGTGGATGAAAACTGAGTAGTGATATTTAACCAAATAATTTTTTCAACCAATTGAGTATTATATATTTTGCTGATGCATGATCAAAGTTGGCGAGCCCAAAAATAAAACGAACACAATTATTTTGGATGGTTTGAATTAGGTCGGTCTTTCTGGACGCTGGCCAAGCAGACCGAAAAGAACTTCTCACACATTAGCCTTCCACCACTTACGTGTCAGGATGGAACTATTGTATTCAACTCAAAGGCCAAGGCGGAAGTGCTAGCCAAGATCTTTGCTGCCAACTCCACCATGGACGTTCCCCCCAACGCCCAAGTGCCGTCAATTCAAAGGGTTCCCTACACTATGCGGGAGGTAACATTCAGGCATAAGACCGTAAGACGAGTACTCTTGTCGCTCGACATCAACAAAGCTTCTGGTCCGGACTTGATTCCTGCCATTGTACTGAAGAGGTGTGCACCGGAGCTTGCTCCAGTTCTTTCGCGTCTCTTCCAGATATCTTATGAAACCGGCACTTTCCCAGAAAACTGGAAATTTGCTCATGTCCAACCCATCCCAATAAAGGGATCTAAGACCGACCCTTACAACTACAGGCCTATAGCCCTGCTTTCTGTTTTAAGTAAAGTGATGGACAGTTGCATAAATCGCGAGCTTCTGGACTACCTCGAACGTCACGGCTTGATTACCGGCAGGCAGTATGGTTTCCGGCACCAACGATCCACAGGGGACCTCTTAGCTTACGTCACTCAATTGTGGAGTAAACTCATCCAGTCTTATGGTGAGGCTCATGTCGTTGCTCTTGACATCACGAAAGCGTTCGATCAGCTGTGGCACGCTGCCCTCTTAAGCAAACTTCCATCCTATGGCCTCCCAGAAAAGCTTTGCAGATGGGTGGCTGACTTTATCTCTGGCCGCAAGATATCCGTCGTAATTGACGGGTTCTCCTCTTCATCCCACAACGTCAACGCGGGTGTTCCCTAGGGATCGGTCTTGGCTCCGACACTGTTTCTCTTACATATCAACGACCTCCTTTCCTGCACGATCAAACCAATCCACAGCTTCGCTGATGACAGCACTCTACATGCAGGAATTCAGAGTAACAAGCCGATCTCTGCCGCTGAGTTGGAAAAAAGAAGACTAGCGATGACTTCCTCTATGACAAGAGACCTGGAGGCTATCACTGCTTGGGGACGCAAAAATCTTGTACAGTTCAATGCTTCCAAATCGCAGTACTATACTTTGACGAACAAAAAGCGTCCCTGCGCTCACCCGGTTTCGATGGATGGTCGAGTGCTGCCAAAGAGCCATTCATTTCGGCTGGTCGGAGTCCAGATCACCGAGGACCTGATCTGGCACGAACACATCTCGTCAATAGCTGCAGCTGCTGGGAACAAGCTAGGCTATTTGTTTAGGGCTAAGAAATACTATTCTCCGCATGACCTTCTCACTCTATACAAGGTCCAGATAAGGCCTAGCCTCGAGTATTGCTCACACGTTTGGGGTGCTGCCGCCCCGACTACATTATCCATGCTCGATGCTGTCCAGAGGAGGGCGGTCCGACTGATTGATGACTCTTCTCTAACAGACAGTCTCGGGACTCTTTCGCACCGGCGGGCTGTCGGCGATCTAGCTCTTTTCTACCGTTACACCAACGGGCTTTGCTCCTCAGAGCTCTCTTCCATGATGCCGCCGGGCGATGTGCCTGCCAGACAGACTCGTCTGACTTTGGCGTCCCATCCTAACCGTGTCGAACTTCGTACATCCAGAACCGATACGACCGCTCCTTTGTCCCGAGGGTGTCGAGATTGTGGAACAATCTACAAGAGGAAGCTTTGCCCAGTTCTATTAACCTTAGGCAGTTCAAAAATCGTATTAATAAAATTTCTTTGGGATTATCATAGCAGCCGCGGTGTTCCGGCATTTAGGCTTCTGCCTGCGCGGCTGTTTCGATATATAAAAAAAAAATTAGGTTTTTGGTAGTGTTGTCTAAACATGGACTGTATGCACTGTTACAGTAATTTGGAACAGAGATAAGGATTCACATAATTTTTTTACGTGACTCAAAATTTAGTAGCTATTTGTTTGCAATTAGATAAGTTTTGTGTGAATGACTTTTGACATGTTCGATAAATCTTAATTTATGTAAGTTTTGATTACTCATTCGGACCTTCAAAGGTGACGTTAAGTCATCGTTCTTTTCTTTAGCACAAAATAAGAGCATTTTAGACTTTTGAGGGTTGACATCCTAATTATGATCAGACGAATATTGGTTTAAATTATTAACATCATTTTGTAAAAGTTCTACAGTACAGTATTTTTCTGGGAATTAAAATAATGCAGCAATTGTGTGTCGTCTGCGAAAGCTTGGATATGTGAATTATGAAGGATTTTGTTCAAGTCAAAAGTATATATCAAATAATAACGGTCCTAGCACATAACCTTGTGTTTTTTGAAAAAACATAAGATATCTTATACCATTGCAATATTCAAGATTGTTGTTTTCTATAGTGTAAGAAGAGTCCACCTTTTTTATATCTTTTGTAAAAACTAATGTGGTTGTGCCGGGTTTTTCAATAAGGGCGGGTAGATGTTGAAATGGAATTAAAAAAGCTGTGTCTGAGGTATTAACAAAAATCTTTTTTTATTTGAAAGTCCCATGTATTCCATTAAGTATGGAATATCACATCGTTCATATGTCCGTATCGGCTTCTTACGGTGGCCTGGATTCAAGTGGTCCAATTTTCAATTACTCCTCCGCATAGATCCGGCTTAATTTGAGCGATCGCCTGTGTTTTGTTCACTTTAAGGGCATCAGTCGTTGTAGGTTTATTCGCATAGACCTGCGACTTTAAGAAACCCCACAAAAAAGTGTAGCGGGGCCAACTCGGATCACCTCTGCGAGAGATAACTTTGGCCTCAGATATGTTTATCTGGAATCAGAGCGGAAGGACATTTTGTGGCCTCGCCTCAACTCCAAAACATTCCTCAAATGTAAGGGCTGTCCCAGGTGGTGACAAGCCCTACTTTTTTCCCGCGTCTCGCCACTTGCCAGTAGCCTGCTGGATCTCTTTCTGACCACGCATCCTGCCCCTTACAACACTGCTGTCCTGTCCCCCCTGGGTAACTCAGACCACGGTGTTGTGGAGGTTAGGTTTCGGTCACAACCCGCTGGACTGCAGAAACTCGCACAGGCTGCAAAATTTGGCATTACGGACATGCCGACTGGGAGGGGCTGATAGACTTCTTCTCTACCTTGGGGACTTAATAATCTTGTACAGTTTAATGCTTCCAAAACACAGTACTGTACCTTGACGAACAAAAAGCGTCCTATCGCTCATCCGGTTTCGATGGATGGCCGAGTTCTGCCAAAGAGCCATTCATTTCGGCTGGTCGGAGTCCAGATCATCGAGGCCCTAATCTGGCACGAACACATCTCGTCAATAGCGGTAGCTGCTGGGCTATTTGTTTAGGGCTAAGAAGTAATTTTCTTCTCATGCCTTCACTCTATACAAGGCCCAGGTAAGGCTTAGCCTCGAGTACTGCTCACACGTTTGGGATGCTGCTGCTCTTCTCTAACAGACAGCCTCTGGACCCTTTCGCACCGGCGGGCCGTCGGCGATCTAGCTCTCTTCTACCGCTACACCAACGGGCTTTGCTCCTCAGAGCTCTCCTCGATGATGCCGTCGCGCGATGTGCCTGCCAGACAGACCCGCCTGACTTTGAGCTCCCATCCTAACCGTGTCAAACTTCGTAAATCCAGAACTTGTCGATACGACCGCTCCTTTGTCGCGGCGGCGGTGTCCCGGCATTTAGGCTTCTGCCTGCGCGGCCGTTTTGGTATAAAAAACAGCTATAAAAAACAGCTATTCATCGAAAAATCGCCTCGTCACTAAAAATTGGTGCACGGCGAGGAATCGACTTGCTCGGGTTCTGCTGCACACTTTCACGGACCGCGGCGATATTCTCTGCCGATCTTGCGTTACTTTGACGCACTGGTGTAGGCTGATTATTTACTGATCCGGTCGTCTCAAATTAGGTCACCAAACGTTGAAGAGTTGCCCGTGAGAGATCACCTCGTTTACCATAAAACCATAAAATGGGCGCATTGCACGCAACGTTTGCACTAATGAATACTCATTTTGATAGTACAGTTTTATCATTTGGACGTGCTGTTCAACCGTCTAACTTGCCATGGTGATTTGACATCAGTAACTGAATAATATAAAATAGATTTGACGGATGTTACCAAAACAACGCGACAAGCCGCCAACATCTACCCGCTCCAATAAAAAAACCCTGTATTTACCAATATTCAATGATAAATCGTTATTAACACGCCAATCAAGCTTTCTAGCCTAAATTAGGGGCAGAGCACAGGGATCAACTATCGTATTCTGTTTATTCCCTTATTCTTATAATGACTAGTTTCATGACTAACGGTATTTTTGCAGTTCATACTGGACGTGCGTTTGGACTACCGCATCAGCTGCCTGTTGAGTATTTTCAAACAAGAATTTGACGAGTCGGAAAAACTCAATAATGGCAATCTGAATTTGGGTCAAAAAAACATCGATTTAGAAAGTATAGCTAGTCGGGCTGAGGCAATTTTTGGCAATAGCGCAGAGTGCGCTGTGTTAGACTTGGATGGGCATGGAGGTAGGACTTTTCTAAGGGTTCTCTTGCACTTGACTATGCACGATTACCCATCGCTAGTGTCTGGGGCTTTACACCTGCTTTTCAGACATTTCAGTCAAAGACAGGAAGTCTTACAGGTAAGTCTCCAGTCAAAAAACAGTTGCAATATTTATACAGCAAAGGAAGATCTAAAAGTAATACATGAAGTTCCTGTGAATATAGGTCTTGAGATATATGTATGTTTTCCGAGATACGTTGCGTTGTATATAGATGAGACGAAAGCTTCGCATTTGTCTTAGAAATGTTCCACCGCGATTTATTTTCCTTAACATGAGATTGCCGGGCGGTCACGCACAGAGGTATTAAGTAACTTGCAAAGTGACATTATGTCGTTCTTTTTGACATTATGTAGGTTTTCCTACAAGACGTCAACTTGAAACTAGATGTCGTTCACTTCATGCATCTTGTAGCAAGCGCGGAATAAACTATGTATTTGCACACTAGCCTGCGTAGTCAACAAGTTGACATTTTCATGCCGGTGCATATTTGTTCAATTACTTTGAACAAATTAAAACAAACCTGTGTGTTCTTAGATTTTTCGGATGATTTGTAATGAAAAAGCTCGTTAGTAGTTATTCTCTAAATTTGACCGTTCTGAAAAGCCCTAGAAATAGTGATTTTTATTACTTAAAAGATTAGTTGAAAAATCAACATGTTGGAGGTTGCCAAGTGTCTAGATTAAAGTTTCAACCTTCCACTACAAGACCCCGAATGGTGTTTTAGGCTTAGTTTATTCTCAATCATTGGCACGCGGATTATTTGAATTTATTTTATTTATTTAAAATAATCATACCGTAGGCATACAATATATGGCAAATTTGATGTAAACCTACAATTTAAAACCAAAAAACAATAAATATGCATATGGTATATCACTAGCGTAAGCGTTGGATCATCTGTGGCACGCTGCCCTCTGAAGCAAACTTCCATCCTATTGCCTCCCAGAAAAGCTTTGCAGATGGGTGGCTGACTTTATCTCTGGCCGCAAGATATCCGTCGTAATTGACGGGTTTTTCTCTTCATCCCACAACGTCAACGCGGGTGTTCCCCAGGGATCGGTCTTGGCTCCGACACTGTTTCTCTTACATATCAACGACCTCCTTTCCTGCACGATCAAACCAATCCACAGCTTCGCTGATGACAGCACTCTACATGCAGGAATTCAGAGTGACAAGCCGATCTCTGCCGCTGAGCTGGAAAAAAGAAGACTAGCGACGACTTCCTCTCTGACAAGAGACCTGGAGGCTATCACTGCTTGGGGACATAACAATCTTGTACAGTTCAATGCTTCCAAAACACAGTACTGTACTTTGACGAACAAAAAGCGTCCTAGCGCTCATCCGGTTTCGATGGATGGTCGAGTTCTGCCAAAGAGCCATTCATTTCGGCTGGTCGGAGTCCAGATCACCCAGGACCTGATCTGGCACGAACACATCTCCTCAATAGCTGCAGCTGCTGGAAAAAAGCTAGGCTATTTGTTTAGGGCTAAGAAGTACTTTTCTCCGCATGACCTTCTCACTCTATACAAGGCCCAAATAAGGCCTAGCCTCGAGTATTGCTCACACGTTTGGAGTGCTGCCGCCCCGACTACATTATCCAAGGCTCGATGCTGTCCAAAGGAGGGCGGTCCGACTGATCGATGACTCTTCTCTAACAGACAGTCTCGGGACTCTTTCGCACCGGCGGGCCGTAGGCAATCTAGCTCTTTTCTACCGCTACATCAACGGGCTTTGCTCCTCAGAGCTCTCTTCTATGATGCCGCCGCGCGATGTGCCTGCCAGACAGACCTGCCTAACTTTGGCGTCCCATCCTAACCGTGTCGAACTTCGTACATCCAGAATAATAATTTTGCAAGTTGACAATAGAACGGTTTTTATTTTTTTTTCTTCAAAAATGGCGCACCGAAGGGAAACAATTCAAGAGATATCATTTGTTTTAAATTGAACGGGGAATTCAAAAATAATTTTTATTTGGCAAAAAACCATTGGCGTACCATTTTTTCGTAATAAATATCGAAGTTAATACCCGTACGCACGCCACTGTTAAAGCTAAAAATTATATTAGCATTGAAAAACAGGGACGCAAAACTATATTATATATGATTCGCAAGGCCAGCCAAAGAGAAAAACACCTTTTAAGTTAGGTACATACCTTGTGTTTCGGCTTTCAGTTTTTTGAAATAGAACTTCACTGCGTGATTGACATTAGGGTTAAGTCAGTACATATTCCAGACAGTCGCCAGGGGCACCCAGGGCTCGTGAAGGAATCCCTCCCCCCGGTTAGCTCAAACCGCCAATCTTTAACCGCAATGGCAGCTGAGGGTAGAGACAACTAGAGTTTTACTAGTCACTTCCGAAAACTCGGTGTCTAACTTACGTGGGAGTCGGGGATACCTAGCTCAATCGGGAACATCCTAATCTGACCGGCTTTGGCAATTACAACCGAGTAAGGCCTGCCTCAGTAAGCCGTTGGCTCTAACCTAGGGTTGGGATTACCAACGTTTCTCTAGTCACTTTCGTAAACTCGGTGTCTACTTGCGAGGGAGGAGGTCGTACTCAGAGAAATTGAGAATAGTGCCTGGTAGATGCGGTCGGGTATGTTGAATCATCAGTTGGATGTATAAATCAAATAAAACTCAACGGATTGGTCCAAACTTCATTTCTACAAGACGCACACAAAACAGTACAGAGACAAAAGTCCTGCCTTCTTGATACCAGCTGAAACTCAAAACAAGCAAATCAGGGACACCAGCAGCTGATGTGGCTCCTGGTTGTTCACTAGAGAAAGCAGCTAGGATCAAGGTAGACTAAGGACGTTGCGCAAAACCCAAATAAAATGGATTTCCCAGATTGCCGCAATTAACCAACACTGGCGCGCAGAGTCTACCTATTTGACACAAATCAAATCTGAAAGTGCCCAAAGTAAGAGCTATAGACCAAACAGTTCGGCATTCTGTCGGTATTCGGTTAGATTTGTTTCACTGGTCAGCTCTTTTTTGTCATCAGAGAAGATCACTAGGGAGCAACGTAGGCTTGAACCGAGTTCAAACGCAGATATCAAGATTAAATAAGTCAAAGATTATCCAGAAATATATCATTTACGGATTCCCAGTTTTAAATTTTTATTCCATACTTTGAATTCGAAACCATTCACTAAATCTTAAATATAAATTTTGCAAAGGTTGGTAAACCCATTCACAAACGGTTTGTTCTAAAGTATTCTCAAAATCTAACTCAACGTTGTTTTTCTTCAGCAAACTAGTTCGGTCAGTATTCAAAAAACACAATCAAGGAAAACACTAACAACTCTCTACTCAAAATTCGTATTTCAAAGATAGACTCTGAAAACGGTACACTACAATTTTTATGACTAAAGAACGAGTCAATCAGAAAGAATAAAATGTATCGGGTTCTGGATTAGGCTCTATACGGTAATCAAAATTTCCAAAAAAAGTAAATCCGGAACCTCTAAAATACTTCATTTATGGTTACCAGAATTACCATACTATATCACTAAAACGGCACACCCTTTTAACTCACCCCCTTACCTCTTGGTACAGGCGGGTACTTCGGTACTACGGTCGGTTGCCAGAAGAGAAGGGAGCCCGGCTTTTTTTTTTTTTTTGGTGAGGGGGGAATGCATTTACGCACCAGGTTGTCTTGAGGAGACTACCTAATACCCACTAAACCCTAACCTCTGTGTGGCCTGACTCATCAGCGTCTCGGTAAGGCCATGTGTTGTGCGTGACCTACGGTCTGCTACAACGTTTCCTCATGTGTTTCAGTCTCTGGGAACGCCGAATTGGTTCCCTTTACCTCGCACATTCTATCGATGTCGTTAAGCGATCATCGATAGAGGGTCTGCTAGGTTCTCTTGAAACTCTTGTTTTCGAAAAATCAAGAGTTTCAAGTCCTCTTACCTATATATTGTTCCTGGTCCTGGTCCTGTTGGGTCCTGGTCCTGGTCGGTCCTGGTCGTGGCGGGTCCTGGTCCTGGTTGGTCCTGGTCCCGGTGGGTCCTGGTCCCGGTGGTTCCTGGTCCTCTGCATCCACGCCGTGGAGGGGGAAGGGGAGAGCAACCGCGGGTACTGCTAGTCAAGGTTCCAGTTAGCGTCTGCCAACTGTGACTTGGGTCTAGGGTACTTGGCTCTGCGGTTGCGAGGCCTCTCGTCCGGATCGTAGTCCATGAGGAGTCGTAGTTGCTCATACGGGTGGTCCTGAGCTTTCTGGAAGGTCTTCTCTGCTTTTTTCCTCATGTACTCGTGGATGGTGTCCCAGAGCAGGTCTCTACGCAAGGTTGAGTTTCTTACGTAGGCTGGTGCACCGGTGGCGATCCGGAGTAGCTTCATCTCTTGAGCAGCAAGTCGCTTGCGGTAGCTGGGAGCAGCGTACCCCCAGACCGCGGAGGAGTAAGCGAGCTGAGGTCTGGCGATGGCCTTGATCAGCCGTAACTTGGTCGCTAGCGGCATCCGGCTGTGTCTACCCAGTAATGGGTAGAGTTCGGCCATGGCTGCTCTGGTCTTTGCGATGACAGCTTCTATGTGGGGTTTCCAGGTGAGGGACTTGTCAAATACGATCCCCAGGTATTTGACTTTGTCACTCCACTGGATATCTTCGTCGAAGATGGATGCTTCGGGAGGTCTTGCGATCCTTCTTCGTTGGATGAAGATTGCCTGCGTCTTTTGGACGTTGATGCGGATTTTCCATTTCACGCACCAGTCCTAGTAGAGCCCGGCATACATACGCCCGCGCTTTTATAGCGCTAGCCAACGTTCAAGAACCGATCATGGTTGCTACGTAATACCGTCCGCCCACTGGGAATCTTCTTGACGTCGTAACGTCGACGTGCTGTATTTTATTGAATCAGGGTTTCCAGTCCCAAAAGGGCCTATAGTCAGTTCAGTTCAGTGCATCAGCTCCGTGCAGGTTACAATTCCCGCACGCTGACCACTCTAAAGTACATTTAAACCAGTACTAGAACCAAAAGGGATCTTAGTGCCCTTTTTGCCTTACAGGGCTCACAACACCAGGAGGGTTGTGTGACAATTCCCCCAAGGCATCGGGATGTTGAGTAACGACTTCAGCCGGCGCCTAGTTACGCCATTTGGCGTGTTGTTTTTCCTCTGCAAATCACTGAACATATGATTACTGCCTCAGGACGCATTCCTGACGTCCTGAATATCGTCTAGGGCTACCACAAGGCTTAAAATTTGATTGAAATCATTTCATTCGTTATAATAAATTCTAACACCGAAAACGAAAAATATCAATTTCTATTTCTATGTGTAACACCAGGGAATTACTTGATATACTTGATTCGCTATGATAATTTTGACATCTGATTACATTGATCTTCTATATTCAAATAACCATGGCAGTGTCAAAATTATCATAGCTAATCAATTATATCGTCACAAGTCGCCATCGAAATCAATTTTAACGGTCGAAACTTATTTATAATCAAGCCCCTGGCAACAAAAACGACTGTCGAATGTCATAAAAACCTCAGGTTTGCTTGAGGATTTGAGACTACGAGTATATCGGTGACAACATAATATTTACAATAGGGCACTATCCCTAACTTAGAATAACGGAACTATAATGAAATCCAAAATTTGACTTCATCGAGAAAACGTAAATACAAGAGGAGGTCAGAGAGTACGTAACTCACGGCACCGAAAAAAAAACTTCACATGAAATACATAGGACTAGAACAACGCGCTCGTAAAAATGATATATATATGTCACAGATACTGTAAGTTAAAATCTACAGAAATAGTATAAACTACTTTTCTTATCATCATTTGTTTTACACTAAGTTCTTTCAAAGCTGCTAAAAGGGACGTTTTTAATAGTATCAGGCACTTTATTAAATTCCTCGACTCCGATTTATTTTGGACTATGTTCCGTGGTGCACAGTCTGTGTCAGGGTGTATCAAATATGTAACTGATTCCTAGTTTTTTAGTTATTCTTATTTTGTCTTGAGAGAAGTTAACATATGACAACAGCTGTAAAATGTACACTGATACTAATGTTAAAATACCAAGGTCTTTAAATAATTGTCTGCAGCTAGTTCGTCTTCAGCTATGCATCTGATCGTTCTTTTTTGTAGAAAAACAGTTCTCTGGCACTCCTTGGAGCAACCGCATGCTAATATACCATATGAGATGATAGAGTGTATATATTTTCTACAGTGATGCGTAACTGGTATAGAGAGTAATACATGGGGGCTATTTTCCTGTATACTTCATCCATCTATATCTTCCATCTACAGTTTTCAGATATACGAATTCCTAAAAATTTAGTTGACTGTACCTGTTTCAGCGATGTATATCCACATTTTAATTAGTAGGCTATGTTCCATATATTTGCGAGAGAAATAGAAACGAATGAAAACAGTTTTTGATTCATTTACAACCAAATTATTTTTCTCAAACTGAGAACTTGCAGTATCCAACTGGTGTTAGGAATGACAAGTAACGAAGTGTCATCCGCATTTATGACACATCTTTGATTGGAAAAGTGGTTCACATACACTTTACAGGGTGTCCAAGATAAGGATCCTATGTATGGGGATCTCAATACCTGTGGTAGATACAGGTTAGGTTGAATTAGGAAAAAACTGCATTATGTGGGCGTATTTATATTCCGTTGAAAAACTTGTACAAATTTAATGAAATCTTTTTTTTTACTTCATTTTAGGAGGTATCAGAAACTAATAAAACCTTTTCATTAGCACTTTTTAGGCACTACATGATTGTGTTTTTAAATGTTGTGCCCGACATTTCATTTTTGGGAAACCATCATCAACTTTATTTTTCAATATGGCTCTAAAAAAGTACACCCTATATCTTGTAGCATCTTTTTCTACGAATTCAACGAGTTATCACATGTTACATTTGTTTTCTTAGTTATAAAGAAACATGTTTTTTTTAATTTTTTTATTTTAAGTAGATGTAAGATTACGTGATTTCTGATAAATGCATATTACATATTAATTAATGATATTATTGGGGTAACATTCTATGAAATGATGTTTAATCTTTTTAGGGACCATATAAAAAAATAAAGCTGATGGTTTCTCAAACACGAACCGTCTCGCACAAAATTTAAATGTACCATCATGTAGTGCCTAAAAAGTATCAGTGGAAAAGTTTCATTAGTTTTTTTATGTCCTTTAAAATAAAGTCAGAAAAACTAAAAATGATTTAGCCAAATTTAAGTTTTACCCAAATATCTCAGTAAGCCATGACATTTTTACAATCTTCTCAAAGGCATGTAAATACGCCCCAAAGAACGCAACCTTTTTCCTAAGTTAACCTAAGCTGTATCTCCGCCGGTCCTAGGGTGGTGAGCGCCTGCGTGCAGGATTTTTGGTGCGCCCCTATGTTTTGAATTTAAGATGCCCATAGCCTATATCATAACATATTCTTACAATGTTATATGTCATCCATACAATTAATATAAAAAACGACCCAGTTTAAAGGATTTATTTTCTTAATGTCACATAAAAAACTGCCTATATTGAGTGGATGAGAATTTTCTACCAGTTTCATCAACAGGGACATTTTCCATGATTTGAATAGCGGCTTTTGTCACGATCGATTGAACTAGATGATGGTTTAACTGATTCGGCCATGTAGAGGGATCAGCAATATCAATATCGGCCATGGGCACAGCAGCTTCTGTATTGTATCTTCACTTCCTGGGTTACTTGATAGTTCAGGATGTGAATGGAGTGGAAGCAGCATGTCAGAGATAGATGGTTGCTAATCGTTAATAACCACTGGCTCTGCGGTTAGTTTGCGAGGTAGATTCGGCAATGAACAGTTCGGTTTTAGGAATTTGGTCAGCGATCCACTAAGTTTTTCCCGCTGCGCCTCCATTTCCCGTCGGCGGTTTTTATATTGAGCTCCAGATAATTTTTTCCTACTGCCTTCGCTCATTTTGGTTATTACTGCAGAGGAAAAAATATCAATTAGCTAACAGACCCATTCGGAAAGTAATTCTAAATTTCTCAATTTCGAATTATTGTTACGGCCCATCCACACCACGTTTATTTCAGGCACCGTCGACGCTCGTTTCACGTTCGCGCTTTAGAAGCGCTGCTTAACTGGAAACAATAGATACATACATTGGTTGTGATCACATTGCGCTTACAGCGCGCTCCGATTGCGTAAAATACGCGTCGACGGCGCCTGCAAGAAAACGTGGTGTGCAAGGGACCTTAGATTGATTCACATGTGCTAGTTTACTCTTTTACTTACTTCTTTGTAGCAGTTTATTGGTCACCTCACAATAAAATTCACAATAAACGTGCTTGCGAACAAACCAGTGTTGGCGAATGTGTCATTGCTAGTGTAGACTACATAATATATGGAAAAAGTAGACATATTGTCACAGATAGTGTAGGCAAATTAGCATTCCATTACTCGAATCTACTCCATGGTACTGAGGGCTATTTTCAAATGATATCTATCTCAGGGTACGGAAAATATTAAATAAAATATTTTTGGAACGTGAACCAAATAACCAAGTATTTGGCGCCCCTATAAATTTGGCGCCTGTGTTCGGGGCATTCACTGCTTACCCGCTAGCACCGGCCCTGTGTATCTCCTACAGGTATTGGGATCCCCATGCGTGAATTTCTCATCTTAGACACCCTGTATACCCCTGTGGGACACCTACTAGACTGTACCTCGAAAACGACCTTTGCAGACTCATGTTTATATGAAGTTTTTTTTCTTAAAACAACTAGGGAATCGCCCTGTGAAATATTGAACACTTACTAGAAAAAACCTTGTATGCTGTAACGCCATTATTTTCAAATCACCGCATATTCCGAATTATCAATTGGAAAACCTTTTGCATGCTTTTAGCCAAGTACAGCTTCTAGTGTCAGATAGCGATGTCCAATCGTACAAAGAAATCAGTGAAATCATGAAATATTGAACACTTCCAGAAAACACCTTGTATCCTGTATCGCCATTATTTTTAAATTACCGCATATGCCGAATTATCAATCGGAAAACCTTTTGCAGGCTTTTAGGCAAGTACAGCTTCTAGTGTCAGATAGCGATGTCGAATCATACAAACAAATCAAGGCTGACTTGGATATTTTGCGACAATCTGTTGAGAAGTCAGAGCTGTGGGTCTACAAATCGAAGGCAACGGAAGACCTCATGCAGATTAACAAAAATAAAGAGGATGATGACGAAGAAAAGTCCAGCGAACCAACCAAAACGCCCCATATAAGTGTTTTAGAGAAAAAGGGATCAGCAATAAACTTGGACATTGGACCACCCTTACATCCTGACCAGGCCGAGGAGTACAAAAAAATACAACAAATTTTGATCAGGATGAACAGGCTATGTACTCAGGTAATAATTTTTATAATAATAATAATTTTTATAAATAAGCCTTCATCTTGCAATTTTCTACTGCCACTTTTACGTTAAAATATAGTACTGACGCATCAGTTTCATCACCCCGAATTTCAGCTTGCTAACTTGTCAGATTCAAAAAATAATTTTTTAGAAGCACTGTATGTAAATCAGTTTATTTAAAGTTTCATTACTTCATGTAGGGATCGACAGGCGGTGTTGTCAAACCTCAGAAACACGAGCAACGATTACTGAGGAACGTAGGAGTACACACAGTGGTTTTGGATTTGTTACAAGTGCCTTACGATGAAAAAGAGGACATCAGAATGAATGAACTGATGAGACTAGCCCACGAGTTCCTACAAAATTTTTGCCTCGGAAATAAACAGAATCAAGTTCTTCTTTACAAACACTTGGATCTATTTTTAAATCCTGGGGTAAGTTCTATAGATCACGCTAACCAGCCTAAAATGAAACCTGCTGTAGAAAAAATGTATAGGCGGATTTTACAAGGGGTGAAAGAAGAGACCCTTCATACAATTTTTTTCTGGGCATCGAAGTGTTACAAAATGATGTTAAGATGTTAACAATTTAATCCAATATTCGTCTGATCATAATCTGGCTATTAACCCTCAAAAGACTGAAATGTTATTTTGTGCACAAAAAAAAGAAGGATGACATAACATCTCTCTTGAAGGTCCAAATAGGTAACCAAAATGCCCAGTTCTCCGGATCTGCAAAAATTCTTGGTGTTGTTCTTGACAAAAAATTAAGATTTATCGAACATGTCAAAAGTCTTTTGCAGAAAACTGATCTAAGGCTATGTACTCTTAATTGCAATCAAATATGTATTAAATTCAAGTTACGTAAAAAATTATGCGAATCCTTGCCCAACTAGCAAAGTAGTGCTATAAGCTTTTGGTAAAAGAACCGTTCAGCCATTAAAGCTCTCTATTGTTGTTGCCTGAACACCAAAATGCTGGCTTAATGTTGTGTGGAATGCAAATTTGCTTTCTGCAACTTATTTGCTCTAAAATGAGGTGTTTAAAATATTCTTATAGCATAGCTACACAACACTTTATAGGAAATTTTTTTTACTGTTGCATAAACGTTTATACAACTATTTTATACGGCATATTTGCAGGTTAGTCAAAATGGTTGTGTTGTGGCATCCATGGTAACGTTTATAAAACAAACCCGAGCCTTGTTGTTTTGCTGTGCAAATTTACTACTTTAGCCAACAAATTGCTCCCAACGGAAGCACTTATACAACTGTTGTTTAGTAACTCTTAAAGGCTGTACATATGCTAAATATGTTGGTATACAACTTCACCATAACCTAACTTTCTGCTGTCATATTTTAGTAAAAATGCCATAACCAATGTTTTAAGACAAATAACGCATGGATATTGGTTAAAAAGGTTTTATCAACTGTTCAAACAGAAGATATAGATCTGGTACAAATTCTAGGTAAATCATTCGACTCTGTCGGTATTTCATTTCTGAAATTTGTCAAATTGTTGTATAACACCTGCAGGCAGCACCAAAATGTTCTAATAAACTAAAGACAACATGAACGATGCCATGATTGTACACAACCACCCGCCATATTGGGCAAACATTTATTCCTCTATTTGATATTAAATATGTAATTATGTTTCAGTTCGAAATTACAGATATAAAGTGATAAACATTAGTGTAATTGTGTCTAAATATAGGATCTTTGGAAGATTTGACGCAGATAAGTTCAGTTTTCCATCTTAAAAATCTAGACATACTTTTGATCATTATCAAAATATGCATGAAATAAGAAGCCCGTAGAAATTGCGTAACTACTTTGCACGATAATCACAATAAAATTTTCTGCGCAAGTAATTCAATAGCCCTATATCAGTGTAGAAGTTTATCATATACCTGTGTATGAAATTCACAATGGCCGATATGTAAGTAAACAAGATGACTGTAATGTGTTAGTTATATATTCTTCACTTCGTCTATGCAATACATAATAAATAGTTTGGTTGCAATAAAGTAGAATCACGTAACAGAATAGTTGTATAGTTGACAAAAACTGAATCTTGCACTGACGCAAATGTCCTATAGCGGCTGCAAGGGGCTTACACTTTTGTTGAATAAATGTTACCTGCAGCCCTTATACAACCTCTTAAATGACTGAAGTGTCCTATTAGGTGTGCCTATTACGCTTGTATAGCTGTTCTAACAGGGTTTTGCCAATGTTCTTACAGTATACAATGCTGTGTAAGGAATACTGTATAATCATTTTTGCAACTCTAATAGGAGTGATAATTGTTAGTTGGGTGATCATATCTTATCTAAATTACTATAATATAGTATACTATCCATGTTTAGACACCTATATTACCAAAAATCTAATTCAAAGCATCCAAAATAATTTTGTTTTATTTTATTTTTGGACTCCGCAAATTTGATCATGTACTATAAAAGTTTTGCAATATATTTAACAAACGGACGCAGAAGGTTGCATCTTACTGCATGTTGAGACATGTCCATGAGTGCATAGTAGCCGCCAGCAGCACGTCTGTTGATTTTGGTGTTCATTAATATTGACACTGTAAAGTGCGAAATATGGCATTGTGGTCACGTAAAGAGATAATGGCAGTTTTACAGTATAACTTTACGCGTGGTTTAAGCATAGACCAGTGCTTAGAAGAAATGAGGCGCGCATTAAAGAATAATTGTCCTCATCGTACGACTATAATCAGGTGGTACAGGGAATTCCAAAGGGGCAATTTCACTCTGGAGGGCGCAGAGAGGAAAGGAAGGCCGCGAACGTAACAGAGCAAAACATTACTGCTGCGTGGAAAATGCTTGACGAAGACCGGAGAGTGACATACCAACATATAGAAGAAACCTTACACCTTCATGCACCAGCAATTCATTCAATTCTGCATGACCATTTACACATAAGGAAACTTTATTCTCTCTGGGTACCGCATAGTCTGACGGAAGAGCAGAAGACTCGGTGCCGAAAGTTGCTAAAAGTGTTTGATAAGGGCCAATCTCGGTATGTGAACAGCATCGTGACAGGTACCTCCACCATGACAACACTCCAGCTCACCGCGCCAAAGCCCACACCGAGTATTTGACCACTACTGGACTGAAACTTATTGAGCACCCTCCTTACAGCCCAGATCTTGCTCCCTGTGACTTTGCACTGTTTCCACATGTGGAAATGAAGCTAAAAGGAAAGTGGTTTTCTAGCGATGAGGACCTTCTAAGGGCTTGGAACAACGAGAGTGCTGCACTTCCGGGTGAAACTTGGTAGAGCTGGTTTAAGGACTGGTTTTGGCGGATGGAGAAGAGTATTGAATGTGGTGCAAATACTCAATTGGTTGAAAATGAATGATTTGGTTAAATATCACTACTTAGTTTCCACCCATAAATTATCTAAACCGCCTTACTTACTAGAAAAATTCATTCAATAATGATATTCATTCTAAACCACTAAGACCCAGTTTTTCAATTGCAGGTTAACTGTGATTTTATCGCTAACCAGAAGTAAACTCTTAAAATGTGTTTTTCAATGTCAAGTTTGCCCTATGACGGTAGTTAACTTTAACCAACAGACCATCTACTAGTTCTACTAGAAAGTTGTAGTTACACCGCAATTCCTAACCTTTTGAAGATGACATGAGTTGTTGCGCCACAAAACCCATAAAACACGATATTTCAGACGTAGAGACATCGTTGTCAGATCAACCGTAACGTGTTAGTTAATCACAGATTGAAAAACGAATTTACGGACAACAAAATAGTTAACTTACAAGTTATAGTTACCAAACTTGAAAGTTAACCAACGATTGAAAGAGCGGCTTTAGAGATAAAATTATTAGGATAGCTCAGTATTCAACAACCGAATTTCAACGCAGTTTCTCCGATAATGTTGCCACCATAAATAATTCTTTACCAAAAATAAAAAAACAATACTTTTTACCAGCTTTCAACAAAAAGTGAAATCATCACTACTTCGATGGCTTGATTACACGCTAATACTTTTTTCTTTACTTTCCTAACCATTTTTTTTTGGCTTTTCTACTTTTTCGTGTATTTTGGCTTGAAAAGTATGCCAAAATTTAAATTTGTTGTGGGTAATAATTCATTATTATTAACATCTACTAGCGACTTTTATGGTTAAAAGTAAGAGTAGCAAACGCTAAATTTCGCTATTTAAGTTTATACGGCTTAGTGGATTTTGGGCTTTTTGGTAGGCGTCCAGTGCAAAAGCCTCTCATTTAAAAAAAAATCGTATTGTTCGGCTTCAATTTGCTAAAACTCATCTAACTTGGACAGAACAACAATGGTAAAATCTTTCCCTCACTTTTCCCAGGGTTTTTGTAACTCCGAGATGACCTCCTGACACACCGAAATGGATTTCTTCTAGCAGCAGCGGGATCCGACATCTGGGGATAACGATTTGCCTTCTTTCCTCTTTGCCGTCGTGGTCCACGATTTTACGCAGTAAGAGTCCGTCGTCCATAACTAGAGAATTCCATTGTGCCAAATACGATTTTATGGTAGGGGAATACTTGGCATCTTCCTCCCAGGCTGATTTCCGTTGTTCTTTCATCCAGTTCAGAATTATTTGGAGATTGCGGTCGCCCTCTTGGTCTTTAATGAGGTCTTCATTATTTTTATAAAAAGAAAGTGTATC